CACTTAAATTGCTTTCGTGAAATTGGCTGTAAAAATTATTTTCTTAGCGTTATTTTCTTCGCTGGTTATCGAAGATCGAACATCGAAAGTAAAATTATGAGCTATGCAACCGTGTCGAAATTTTCGTTGGGTATCGAATTTTCTGTCGAACAGAATTTTGCTTTCGATGGTGTAGCGATGTGTTAGAAAATTGTGAAAAATTTATGATTTGCATTTGTTTGTTTACTTTATGGCGGCTAGACACTAATTTTAAACAATTTTTATTAATTGGAAATACTACACTTAAACCCTCTTAAACATTTTCAACTCCTGGTCAGTTTACCAAGCTCTCATTCTCTGACGAATCGTTGAACCAGAACTCCGCTGTACTAATTTTTACCACGTTTTTATAACTACGCTTACTTTTTTATTCGGTTTAAGGGCTCACTGAAGTCTGCAGCGTCTGTTCACCAGTAGGTGCGGCTGCAAGCGGGTGTCTGCTTTGAGCAAGCGGCTCGCTATATAAACGTGTATTTGGTTGCGAAACCACCCCCGTCCCAGCAATGGGTTGTGCGCTGGGCTTGGGACCCGCCACGTAAAAACCACTTCCAGTGAAGAAGCAAGGCAAAGCCTCGGATGAGACCCCCTTTAATGATGACGACCACGGCAAACGTTTAAAGGACTACGATTTGAGGGCATGCACCTGGAATGTCCGGACCCTTAATGGGGAAGGTGCCTCTGCCCGGCTGGTTGATGTCCTCGTAAGGACAAAAGCTGACATCACCGCCATCCAAGAAATGCGTTGGACGGGGCAAGGCAAACAATGTCTGGGCCCTTGCGACGTCTACTACAGCTGCCATGTAAAGGAGCGCAAATTCGGAGTTGGATTTGTGGTGGGAGAGAGACTCCGTCGCCGAGTACTGTCGTTCACCCCGGTGGACGAGCGTCTAGCCACAATCCGCATCAAAGCGAGATTCTTCAACATCTCGCTCATCTGCGCCCATGCCCCGACGGAAGAGAAGGATGAGGCTTCCAAGGATCTCTTCTATGAGCGCTTGGAGCGTACGTACGAGCGCTGCCCCCGCCATGATATCAAAATCGTGCTTGGCGACTTCAATGCCAGGGTTGGCAAAGAAGGGATCTTTGGAACCACCGTCGGAAAATTCAGCCTCCACGACGAAACGTCCGACAACGGATTGAGGCTGATCGACTTCGCCGGGGCCCGAAACATGGTAGTATGCAGTACTAGGTTCAAGCATAAAAAGATTCATCAAGCCACCTGGCTGTCTCCGGATCGAAAAACGAGAAACCATATCGATCATGTTGTGATAGACGGAAGGCACGCTTCCAGTGTTTTAGACGTACGCACACTCCGAGGGCCAAACATCGACTCGGACCACTATCTTGTTGCAGCCAAGATACGCACCCGCCTCTGTGCAGCAAAAAATGTGCGCCCAAATATGCAAGGAAAGCTTAACGTCGAAAAGCTGCAATCACAACAGACAGCCAGCGCTTTCGCTACTCGACTCTCACTCCTGCTCTCAGAGAGCACTCTTCCACAAACCGACATATGCGAGCAGTGGAACCACATTTCCCGCTCATTAAGTACCGCCGCCGAAGAAGTAGTCGGATTTCAGCGAGCCCGAAAGAACAACTGGTACGATGAGGAGTGTCAGGAAGCTGCAGAGAAAAAAGATGCCGCCTACAGGGCCACGCTGCGATCGGGCGCAACGCGCGCTATATGGGACCGCTATAGGGATCTGAAAAGGGAAGCGAGACGTATTTGCCGCAACAAGAAGAGAGTGGCCGAAATACGTGAGTTCGAAGAGCTTTAAATGCTGACCGACAATTTTACCAGAGAGTTAGGCGACTTACGGAAGGTTTAAAGATCGGGGCGCACTCCTGTAAGAACAATAATGGCGACTTAGTAACTGATGTCCAGAGCGTACTTAAATTATGGAGGGAACACTTTTTGCCCTACTAAATGGTAGCAGCACGGAAAGTTGTGGAGAAGAAGAACCCGAGCCCGCAGTCGATGATGACGGAGTCGACGTTCCACCGCGTGACTATGACGAGGTACGTATAGCAATAACGCGGCTGAAAAACAACAAAGCCGCCGGAGCTGACAGCCTGCCAGCTGAGCTATTCAAGTACGGCGGCGAGAAGTTGATATGGTGCATGCATCAACTCTTGTGCAGAATATGGTCAGATGAACGTATGCCCGACGACTGGAATTTAAGTGTGCTCTGCCCAATCCACAAGAAAGGCGACCCCGCCATTCGCGCCAACTACCGCGGGATCAGCCTTCTAAGCATAGGTTACAAGGTCTTATCGAGCGTATTGTGTGAAAGACTGAAGCTCACCGTCAATGAACTGATTGGGCCTTATCAGTGTGGCTTTAGACCTGGCAAATCCACCATAGACCAGGTACTCACAATACGCCAAATCTTGGAAAAGACCCGCGAGAAAAGGATCGACACTCACCTATACGCCGCTATGTCTGAATTTGGCAAACTCAAAACTCATACGGCTGTGTAAAATGACGTGGAGCAATACCACCAGCTCCGTCAGAATTGGAAAACACCTAGTAGCCTAAGTGGAAGGTTCTATCACTCTTTGCTAGAGCTTCTCAAATATTGCAAAAGCCCGATTTTTGACACTTTGACCCACTTTTGACTGCCTTTAGTCGGGAAGGTGCCTCTGCCTGTCTGGTTGATGTCCTCTGGAAAATAAAGGCTGACATCACCGCCGTCCATGAAATTCAATGGACGGGGCAAGGCAAGCTGAGCGGGGAACCTTGCGACGCACAGTGGGCTGAAATTAGTTCATAATGGACTTAAGAGACATCAAAAAATGACCAGTTAATATTTGAAAAATAATGATGGGTTTTGATTCTCAACTTTATTACATCGCCTTTTCGTACCTGAATATTTTTTCATAAACTCCTTAGTTAATTCCCAATACCAACAGTCGGACTGCGACAAAGAAGTGTATGATGTTTATGGCGGCAAACCGTACAAACTCCCGCTGAACAATCACGCGTAACATGGCCGTGACGTAGACAGTTGAAGCAAAGGAGCAAATGTCGAACGGTATCCCAACGAGCCGTTACTGCAAGATGGTTCTCCGAACAATGTGGACAACTTGAAGTATTCGCACCATTCGCTTGTGCAGGCGCTAGGTGTGCTCTAGCCCCACGTTGTGCCGTTTGCCGTGAAAAGGTGATCACAACCTGCGACACAGACGATGCAGCCGGCATATTCATCGCGCGACGCTCGATGAAACTCAATAAATCTTCCAATCGGGGAATATATCTTTGTCTTTGAGGCTCATGCCCCCATCATTTCTTGCTGCTACCGGCAGCAGTGACCATTGGGACACTTTCAGGCTTGACGTACTGCCGCAATTTACTAAGCTTGTATGTTGACTCGAGATCTGTCCGTTGGTGGACCATTGTCTCGAACATGTCTTTAAACACAAGCCAGTTCTCCACCTGACCATCGAAGGGTGGTATGGATACAGGATCTAGCCGCGAATCCGCTGCTTGGGTCCGCACGGAGTCATGCTCAACAGGAGTGCATTGCAATAGCAAGCGACGTAATTTAATGCAAACCTTGTTGAATTGCTCTTCCGTGCTAACGTACAGTGTATCATGAGTAGGGTTATCTGACAACTGTGCCCCTGCGACTAAATCTAAATGATGTTCAACGAAACGATTCCAGTACTGCTGCACCATTCCAAGAATGTGCTCAACTTCGACGTGGTCTGGAGTATAGTCCTCTGTATGAACCGTATTAAAAATCCGCGTAATCGATGACTTCGCGGAAGTACGTAAATTCAAAGAAGTCATACCGCAATATGTGTTGTACAGTTTTTTTCACAAAATGATATCTGCCTAATCACGCCACAAAGCAAACGCTGATTAGCGGCTTATTGAACAGTTAATTCTGAACGGCTCACGAGCTGTTGTTGTGTCACCTCGAAGCGACTACAAACCACCGCTATTGCCTTCTGGCAAAGTCTCAGTACTCCGTTACACGAACTAAATCTGTGGAGCCCTTATCGGTAACTCCAGCTGGCTGATGCACTGGCAATCCAAGCGAGACTTCCTCGATAGCTTGTTCGCGAATGCACCGTCGCACTTCAAAATTGCTCCTCACAGGAGGCACCGAAAATGCATCAGAACTCCTTGATACATTCAGACGGCCACTCGCTGGCCGCTCCAAAAAACCAACTCGCCTGTCCGAGTCGAGCTTTATTTTTCTAATAATAATAAGCAAATTACAATTTTAATGTTATGCCTGCCAATGTGCAGCGCTACGAAACAACAGAGAAAACGACAGAATCACAAAAACTACTCAAGAAGCAAGTGATGCCGCTGAATACGAAAAATATATACATGTGGAGACATAATGGAGATGTTCCACCAAATTTACGTCCGGCCCGAAGATGAAGCTCGCAGAGGTTCCTATGGAGAGAAGATGATAAGAAACCACCGGAAATTTACGAGATGCAGGTTATGATTTTCGGCGCTGCGTGCTCCCCGTGTGCTGCGCAATTCGTAAAGACGTTAAATGCTCAGGAATATGCAGACCGCTTCCCCCGCGCAGTGGAGTCTATAGTGAAGTACCACTACGTTGATGACTTTGTGGACAGCTTCGAGTCAGTGGAGCAGGCAGTCAGCATAGCGAAGCAGGTGTTCAAAATCCATGAAGCAGCCGGATTCCAAATGCGTGGATATGTATCCAATTCAGTTACAGTAATAGAAGCACTTGGAACTGATGTCGATGCGAGAAGCATGAGCAGCTGTTTAAACGCAAAGAATTCCTCAGCTCAAAAGGTCCTTGGAATGTTTTGGCAACCACAAGATAATACGTTTAGATATGAGCTGAGATTCCCACGACTGGAAGCTGAAGTCAACAGTGGAAGCAGGCCGCCAACGAAGCGAGAAGTACTTAGTTATGTCCATTTTTGATCCATTGGGATTTTTAAGTCATCTGGTAGTGGGAGCCAAGATTATAATGCGTGAAGTTTGGCGACGCAAGATCATTTGGGATGAGCCTCTACCTGATGATATTACTTCGGCTTGGAGGAACTGGCAGAGAGAAGTGCGGAGAACAGCTGCGGTCAGAATACAACGTTTTTACTTCAACGAGGGTACGCCAAAGAGTTTGCAGTTGCACGTTTTTGTCGATGCGAGTGAGGAGGCCTTTGCCGCAGTGTGTTACTGGAGGTATGTTACTGCTGATGGAACCGCCAAAGTTTCACTTATATGCGCGAAGTCAAAATGGGCGCCCATGAAACTAATGAGCATACCCAGGCTTGAACTCCAAGCCGCGGTACTTGGAACACGTTTGTCACAAACAGTTCTCGACGAGCATCGGCTTGCAGTTTCCGCACGAATTCTTTGGAGTGACTCATCAACTGTAGTCAATTGGATAAACTCGAAGCATCGACAATATAAGCCATTTGTGGCGCATCGGATAGCGGAGATCCTTTCAACAACCCACCCGACTGATTGGAGGTGGCTGCCCACGAAAGAAAATGTAGCCGATACGGCGACACGCCGAACCTGTCAAATAGATATTGATCCATCATCGCGCTGGTTCTCTGGTCCATCGTTCTTGTCAATGCCAGTGGAATCATGGCCACATGCCTTGGTCACTGCGAACAATCAGAATGATAGCGACGAAGAAATGTGTACAACTAGCGTTTTTATAACAAATACCAATGTTTTAATTGAATTTAATCGGTTTTCCTCGTACCCTAGATTGAAAAGAACAACGGCTTGGATGTTCAAGTTTATTGATCGAACTCGATGCAGCCGAAGCTTATCTGTGTCGCCAAGCTCAGTGTCTACAGTATACGGTGTGGAAGTGAAACTACTAAAAGACGGACAAATGGTGCCAAAGGAAAGTCCAATCTACAATTTGCTGCCGCACTTGGATGCGAAATCGGTCATGAGGGTAGGTGGTAGGATCCAAGCTGCCAGCTGGTTACCACTCTCTGCTATACTCCCAATTGTGTAGCCACCGAAGCATCGCGTCACTGTGTTGATTGTTGCGTATTACCACTGTAAAATGAAGCACCAAAACATAGAAGCCACAATTGGAGAAATAAGGCAAAAATGTTGGGTCATGAACTTGAGACAAGTATTGCGGAAGGTTGCTAATGGCTGCATGAAATGCAAAGTATCGCGATCCAAACCAGCTACGCCAATTATGGGCCCGCTCCCTCAGGATCGATTTAAACCGTACGTCAGACCATTCAGCTACACCGGATTGGATTACTTCGGGCCTCTGAAGGTCACTATTGGTCGGCGTACGGAAAAGCGATGGGTAGCTCTTTTCACCTGCCTTACGGTGCGCGCGATACATCTGGAGGCGGCTTATGACTTGTCCACCGACGCTTGCATTCTAGCAATCAGGAACTTTATTAATCGACGAGGTGTCCCTGTGCGCTTACGGAGCGACAACGGTAAGAACTTCGTTGGCGCGGATCAAGAGGCAAAGCGGTTTGACGAGGTGTTCGATTGCGGGCGTGTTAGCGATGAACTGTCATCAAAGGGTATTGGGTGGATTTTTAATTGCCCCCAGAATCCATCGGAAAGTGGTATATAGGAGCGCATGGTGCACTGCGTGAAGCGCGTGCTAAGTCACACATTGAAGGAAGTTGCTCCCCGCGAATATACTTTGCAATGCGTCATTGTAGAGGCGGAAAACATTGTCAATTCGAGGCCTCTTACTCACCTGCCGATCTCGGTCGATCAAGAGGAGCCGCTTACCCCAAACAATTTTTTGTTGCGGTCGTCGAATACGATGCAAACACCTTGTATAGGGCAGCAGGATGAGAAAACATGGACATTGCGGAAACAGTGGAGAATTGCACAGCAGCTGCGCGACCGATTCTGAAAACGTTGGGTCATTGAATATTTGCCCGATTTGACAAGGCGAGCTAAGTGGTGTACACCGTCGAAACCATTGAATGTGGGCGATCTTGTGTTCATTTGTGACCCGAATATGCCAAGGCGACAGTGGTTCCGGGGTGTGGTTGAGAATGTCTACCGGGGTGCTGATGGCGAAGTCAGAAGAGCAGATGTCAGGACAAACACCGGGGTGCTTCGCCGTCCTACGCCAAAGCTGGCCGTTTTGAACATAGATTTTAGTGAATCTGAGTGATTCACGGGGGTGGGGGTGTTGCAAAACGCCCATCCCTGATGCATTAAATATTTATCGATGTAAGCTCACCGCTATTCTCAAACTTCCTTTTGCTCTATTCGCTGCACTCCCGAATGACAAATTTAGTAGTGTCGTGAATATAGCAGAGGAAGGGCGCAAACTGCGGTGAGTATATTTGTAGTGTTCGTAAATTTGGTCATCTTTAAATTCATATACATTTTTTCCTATAGAAATAAATAGTCGTTGCCAGGAATAACCGGCGCTATTATATTTCATCGCCTTTTTAATCACGGCACTACAACACCTAACTTCGCCGTCACTCAATCGTTGGGTTACATGTATATATTGAATGAATTTTTATATTAACTTACCTTTTATAACAATTAACCTTCACGTCGCTCAATTGTTGGATTATATATATTTAATGAATTTTTATATTAGCTAATCTTAAATTTGTGGCTATACAAACGCGAGCAATCCTTAGTATACGCTTGTATTGAACCTTTTCTATTTTTGAATTTGTAACCTGTTGACAGTCCAAACGCTATGTAATGATGAGTGTGTTTGCGGGTGGCAGCGAAGGCGTTGTTCGCTCGCTACCATGCTCGCTACTTTACATGCACATCTCTATATGGTTTTGACATTTTAATTCTCATCTTTTCGCTGAATTTATTGCATTCGCTATCGGTATACGCCCGCTATAAAATCGCTTATTGTTGCAAATACGAATAAGAATTGTGAAATAATTATTAGATCGACGTTAATAAACGCATTCATTTTTAATTAAAGTCCGGTGAGGTAGTTTTCTTTTTTTTTCGCTTGCGCAGTTCTATTTGACAGTCGCGATCGGTATTAAGTGTGACTTAATAACTTAGATCGTGCAGTACTTGTAAACGCAGTTCCTGCTTCGAGGCCACCATTTAAACCCCCTCAATCACAACAGTTTCAAAACCAATCAAGGACGCAAGTCCAATCTCACATGACAGAACAGCGAACTATGCACAATTCCTCTCACTCGCTATGGATCGTAGAAAATTTGTCAGAGAAAATAATATGTGTTTTAATTGTTTATCCCAGAGTCATTTATTAAAAGATTGTCCTAGCACTCAGACTTGTAGTCATTGCCAAGAACGGCACATCTCCGTGCTGCACGAGGGCACAGTATCTACCCCGAGAAGGCAACCCCCCCGAGTGCAAAGGATAACCTCACAAATGGCAACCACGCAACCCACAAACTCAAACGTACAAACTACCGAGCAGACGGATATTTTGGAAGAAGAGCCCTCCAGCTCCCAAGAAACCCGAGTACAATCATTTTACTCAGAGAATGAAAGTAAGATACTCCTGCCTACAGCTATTGTCCCAGTAGCGCACAGAGGGGAAATATTCAAGCTCAGAGCCCTCGTAGACCAGGGTTCTGAGCGAAGCTTTGTCTCCATAAAAGCACAAAATAAACTAAGACTGCCTTATAAACTCTCAAAATTTGAAATCTCGGGCATGGGCGGGGGAATCGTTCAAACGTCCAACAAACTATGCTCCCTGGTCGTGGTCTCTGCCGATATGAAAACCGAAATTAACGCTCAAGCTATAGCATTGCCGCAGCTGACCAAGATGCTTCCCAAGTTCCAACTAAATAATGCTGATAAAGAGAAATGGTCCCATCTCCAGCTAGCAGATCCAAATTGCCACTCCCCAGCTCAGATCGACCTCGTTTTAGGCAGTGACATAATCCCTCAAATCATCCAGGACGGCACTGAAAAACTCTCTCAGAATCTGCTAGTTCAAAAAACAATATTTGGTTGGATACAAAGTGGTCAGGTTTCTGAAAAAGTGGCTGCTTTCTCTAATCAAGTAGAAGAAACCTCTAATGAGCAGCTTGATGTACAAATGCGAATGTTTTGGGAACTGGAAGAAGTACCAAAGCGCAATATCACCACCCCGAAAGAAGAAATCTGTGAAGAGTTATATAAATCCACCACATCCCGCACTGCTGACGGTCGTTATGTCGTTCGGCTCCCTTTGAAGCGCAGCTTTCCAGAGGAGATCGCCCTAGGCCACTCTCGCCCCTCAGCCCTCAAACAATTTATCGGTATGGAAAAAAACCTTCAAAAAAATGGGCACTTAAAGTATTTGTATGACAGTGTCTTGGAGGAATATATTACTCTCAAGCATATGGAGGAAACCAACTCCTATGAAAAGTTCTCCAACGGAAAATGCATGTCTTTCTACCTCCCCCATCACGCGGTAATACAACCCGAAAAAAGAACGACAAAAGCGCGAGTCGTCTTCAATGCATCAAGGAAGTCAGGGTCCGGGTACTCTCTGAACGATGTTCTCTATACCGGTCCGGCTCTCCAACCCGATTTGATGCTCCTGATCCTCAAATGGCGGACGTACCGGTTTGTCTTCAACGGCGATGTCGAAAAGATGTATCGCCATATACTCCTTCACGAGGACGACCAAGACTACCAAAGAATTGTGTTTCGATCCTCTACGAACAGCCCCATAAAAGATTACAGATTGAAAACTGTCACGTTTGGGGTCAGTTGCGCTCCATATCTCGCAATACGCACCTTACATCAGCTTGCCCAAGGTGTGGAAGGTAGATTCCCTATGGCAGTTACTATTTTGACCAAACAAACTTACGTGGATGACATTCTCTCCGGCAGTCATGACACTCTTTCAGACGAACAGTCCCTCTCTCAAGTCATCGAAGCCCTTAGCTCGGCGGGTTTCCCCCTCAAAAAAATCACATCCAACCATCCTGACATCCTCAAAGCGATTGACAAAAAGGACTTGCTTGACACAAATTTTCTGGAGTTCGAGAAAGCAAGTACCACCAAAACTCTCGGAATCCAGTGGAACGCCATTACGGATACCTTCTCTTATACCGTAGACCCCATACCCGCAGCGTCCGCTACAACCAATCTCCAGGAAGCCAAACGCCGTCTCATCCTCCTAACCTAAACTCGTCACTACTCCCATGAAATGGCTCGTCTAGCGGACTCAAATCCCATTAATAAAAAAATCTCCTTGCTAGCCCTTAATCCCGTGTTAACGGGGACCTTAAGTTATAATGAACGTCACCCTATCATCATCCCAGAGAAGTCAAGGTTTGTAACTCTGTACCTACGATTCCTTCATGAATTGCTTATCCACGCCGAAGTGCGGCTTATACTTCCCCCGACTCAAGCCCCTCATCAAAAAAAGCATTTTCCAATGCAAGACATGCGCCCTTCACAAGCAGCAAACACGCTCACAAATCATGCCAGCTTTGCCCCCCGAGCGGTGCACGTTTGCTCCACCCTTCACGACCACTGGTGTCGATTTTGCTGGGCCTTTTCAATTAAAGGCATCCATGCTAAGATCGCCCACCCTTGTGAAAGGTTACGTGGCTGTCTTTGTATGTTTTACAACAAAGGCGGTACACCTTGAGCTGTGCTCCGATCTCACCAAGGCATCGTTTCTCGCTGCCTTTGCGCGCTTTGTTGGCCGCCGTGGTTATCCCGCCAAAATGATGAGTGACAATAGCAAAACCTTTATTGGAGCCAAAAGAGCCACAGAAAAGGAGTTCTCAGCCTTCCTCAACCAGGTATCCAGTGATGTCGTCCAAAAGTATTCTCCTCAGGGTATTAACTGGCAGTTCATCCCTCCCGGTGCCCCGCACATGGGCGGATTGTGGGAGTCCGCCGTCAAGAGTTTCAAACTCCACTTCAAACGAACTGCCGGTCCCCACAAATTTACCTTTGAAGAGTTCACTACCCTATTAATAAGAGTTGAAGCCGTCTTAAATTCGCGGCCGATCTCTCCACTTTCCCAAGATACAACGGATTTCACGGCACTCACACCCGGCCACTTCCTTCGAGGAGCCGCTCTCTTATCATTCCCCGAAACGAATCATGAAAATTTGTCTCTCATTAATAGATGGGATAAACTCAAGGTCTTGCACCACCAATTTGCCCGACGCTGGAAGGAGGATTATCTCAAGGACCTACATAAGCGACATAGGTGGAGGGACCCACAGGTGGAACCCCGCCTCAGAGAATGCGTCGTCATTAGTGATGAAACACTCCCACCCACGGAATGGCGCCTGGGCCGCATCGAGAGGTTGCACCCTGGCAAGGTGTCCGTGTAGTTGACGTACGCACAAAAACCGGGTTATTCACACGACCACTCGTAAAATTAGTATTTCTGCCTTCCGGTGAAGCCACCACCACTCGCACCGTTCCCCATTAATCACCACGCGCACTCTCTGCACAGTAATCTCCTTGTCACGATACACACACTTTTTTCAGTCTCATATTAATACTTGTCATATATGACCAACAAGGTTGTTGTACATATAAATCTTTCCAGATGGAGTGAAATTAAAGCCCCCAACCAGCGCCGCGCACTTCCATCAGGTCAAAGGTGGTCATAGCACCTGCTTCGGAGGACGACCA